CTTCAGTTTTAATGTACAAACATAATGTGAAGCAACTGGCTCAAAAGTTGGTCTCCAGAGATGCATTGTAGCACATTCGAAATCTTACTCATTCACCTTAGAGTTTCGCCTAACCTCTTCGTTGTCTAGCTCTACCGTCTGTCAGTTACCTTTTATTATTAAATGTAAGTACACTATATGTACTTGCTGAGTCGTTGGCTCACCTTTCTTCTCTTCCTTTTTTTTCCAGATTCTCGTAGCCACTACCACCAAACTCAGACTGCTCTACGTGCCCCCTTGCAACAACATACATATCTTCAGGCTAGGCGAAAATTATCAACAACTGGTCGTTACAGCGTGCATGTCATCGATTTGATCTGAATGAATTTGCATCGTGATTCCTTGATAAACGAAGTGAATGCAGCCAATGTCGAAGGTGATTTTAGCTCATCTTATTTCAATAAGCAGCCTTCAGTCAATATCGGCACCTTTGACAGTAGGCTAATTCTTAATGTTACAAACGACGCCCTAGCACAGCACATTTCCATGGATAGACGGCTTAGACCTGGTTAACGTTTGTTAAAATTGGACCTTATATTTATTTACACAGATTTGATGATGCACCTTCCCTCAACGTTCAACCTCAGTAGCAAACAGTGATCATAGAGTCTTTGTTTCGATTCACAGCATGTGACATGGTATGTAAGAATATATGACTTCGTTCAAATGTTTGTTGCATATAAATCTCTGCTATCGGATAACGAGCTGTATCTGTGGTAGATTGGTCAGACACCACTGATTTTATGTTGATGAAAAGTGGGTTAAATTCGAAATAAGGCTTAAGTCTGACACGCCTGATTTTATTCTTTGGTCTGTTCCTCAGAAACCATCCAACTGTCCTCAATATATGAAGTTACAGGCTACGAAATTAATTAGGCGCACTAAGAGGTAATAGAACCAGTTCATATCCACTGGATCAGAACCACAAGAGTTCTTGCAATACCCTGGACAAAAAAATCTACTAAAACAAGCTTATCGAGGATTCTCTCTTTTGTCCTAAGAGATGTTTCTCCTGTGTCAAGATAAGGACTCGAAACAATGTCATACCAATTTAATACATTGTTGGCGGAGGGTGATTTACCCAGAGCTGAAGCAGTGCCATTACTTTAGTTAAGTATTCCCAGAGGACCAGTATATATCCGGCAACTTTTCCCAAGTGTGACCTAGAAATCAAAATGACGATCAATGAGAAGGAAAGTGGGTTAGAATGACTCCAGGATTGGACAACCCCAGCGGTCTAAATAATCTTTATTTTTGCAAATTCTTAGGACCGGTGGGCATAATAGCCAAACTATTATAATTGCTCTCTAATGAGCTATTTAACCGGTCAAAATCACGGAGAGACTAGAAAGATGCTATCATCAGTTCCGTCTACAAAACTAGGATTAGGCATTTTCAGCCGATGATCGCTTGGTTAGACTAACCAGTAAACTTCCCAAGCTACTTGAAAACATCATTAATAATGTGGTCCTAAAATATATCGAAATGATAAGATTACTGGTTAATAAAGAGCTCATGTTCAGGACTGGATAACCATACCTGAAATTCTTTACTGGAACATGGTCTTCCGGGGAATTTCGCTGATACTTTCAAATAAGATTGGATCTCCACAGTACCCAACAGTCCAAGAATCAGTACAAGTCACCCTACATAGCTGATGACATGACGTGGCGGTCAGGCTTCCATATCAAAATGATCCAACTAACTTGTTACTTCGAGGTTCCACTACAAGAGAAAGGTCTGTTGAACAAAGCAATCCTCATAATAGTGTAGATTGCTACGCTGTGATAACGACCAGAAGTGGTACTGCTGACTGGACAGGGGTGTAAATGTAGTAAAATGTTTGTCGTAGATGACTAGGTGTGCCGCACTGGTAGTCTTCCATACGGCAAGCGTGGTTTAGAAGAGGTCGGTCCTAAAAATAGCATAGTACCCTTTAGCCTGAAGCATTCGGGTGCCCGAGGTAAATGTTTCCCAGTTAGAGTGAAACCAGTCGACGCTAAATCTCAAACTTCCAAAAAGACAGTACGTAACTGCTTCAAGCAGATGTCCCATAGGCTGCACTGTAACACTATCCCATATATCCATCAATATTTCTACATTACCCACAATTTCATCCAGCTCACCCGCTTTCAATAACGATTCATGTTTTCAGAGAATCCAGGATGGCATGGAACAGCGCTCCAAATTACGCATAGCAATCTTTATAGTCCACACCTCCATTAAGTCAGCCAAGATTCGCTACTGAAAAATCTGGTACTGCAGGACAGGGACGCGTGATGCGTTTTTGGTACAAGCATATAAGATCTAAGCCTGGCAACTCACAAAATCTCCACAGATCGAAATGGTATGTAAAAATAACTCTTCTTACTTTTAGACATTCGATGGCCAGTTGTCGAGGTTATCTAAGTGTAGGCGAAGCGTAAATCCCCATGACAGAAACTACAACATCATAATGGAATGTAGTTTAAAGCCAACATTCAGCGCATTTACTAAAAGCGTACTAGGCATACAAAATCAGCCACACTCGACGCTGTTTCTATGCAGCAGCAGATAAAAATTTGACGGACTGCATTCCGGATGAAGTGGAGCATGAGTTCTACCAAAAATTATCTCGCCTTCTATTGAAATCTAAAACCTCAGATGTGGTTGTCATAGTATGGGATTTCAGTGTACAAGTGGTTAGGCCAGATAAGATGAAAATGCATCTCAGCAAAGACGTAAAAACGAATGCACAATTCCGATGCTCTGTAGCAAACACATTCAGACAACCACCTACTACTGGTCAAAACAAACTTCAGACAAATGGGGACATTATCTGACATGGTATTCACCGACGTCGACTGAACGGAAGACACTGGCTATATTGCTATCATTTGTGGAAGAGGGCAGGTGGAAGATCATCGCTCCATATAAAACAAGTTTCAGTAAACTAGGACCACGCATATGGTGACTGCTAGGTCTACACACCCACGAACAAGTCTGGGAATTGTCTGGCATTTCCATGTTTTTAATCCCCAAGCCCCACACAGACCTCAGATAATAACAGAAATTAGAAATATATCAATGAAAATTTTGTACACTGTACAATGGATTAATATAAGTAAGTTTTTAATGAACAGTTTACACAGATGAGTTTCTATTTCGGTAATATTTTCAGCAAAATTACTGCCCGTGATCACACCAAATGTTGGAATTTTCTAATAATATCGCTCGAAATGTTAACAGAAAAGACTATTATTGTGTGTAAACTTTTCATCAAAAATGTACCTATAATACAGAAACTAGGAACTTCTTCAGACCAACTCACACGTAGTGGTTATCACGGCAGGATTCTTCTGATTTCTTATAGACATGGAAAATCAGTGACTGACACGAGTGAAAGAAGACCGTACCAAACATCCGTACAATAGGAAAAACTTCAGCTAATCCGACAAATATACCTGTAGCACCATCCAGAATTACTTCTGCTGCTAAAAGTGACAGGCACTGTCGCACATCCTGGATTCAGATTACGTACACAACACTTGAATCCTTTCACTAACAAAGAACCAGTAAGGTGTAGGGTTCTGACACGAAATCAAAACCAAGTCAAGTCAATATAAACATAGGAGCCGGCATTGCTGCGTTACAGTCCAAGTTTTCACACATCATATCAGCACAACAAATAACAAAATAGTACAATTAAAGACGAAGAAATAAAGAAAAGTAGGTAAAAAGCAGTCAGAAGGAAGTAAGTAGGTATGAAGAAATAATGGATCCGGAATAACGATTAAGATAATATATGCAAAGACATGCGCCACTGAGATAGATCCTCAGCTATATCACCTGGTTTCTCCTGTCACAGAGACACAAGTCAGGAAGACTACACTCCCCTACACGATTCAGGTCTACAGTTAAAGACTTCACGGACCGACGCTATTATTAGTCTGACCACTCCTAGCCGGAATCTACTTTGGCCAACATCGTGCAACGAAGCAGATGGTGAGTAGGCATGTGTAACACATCCCCCAGTCAACTGAGTCGGTGAAGGTTCACAGCTTCTTCTACTGACTTACCACTTCTCTCTACAACTCCACGCCTGACCTCTACGTTACTGATGTCGTGGCACGACGATTTTCGCCACAAAGGTAACGGTTGTCAAATATCCGAGAAACCTCCCCTTATCCTCCACCCTTAATGATCACGTTTTACCTTATGCTAGAAAAGAGAAAACTGCAGTGCAGTACACTTGACCCTGTGGCAATTCGGTCTAGGCATTCCACTACTACTGGCTTGAACCCCGCTACACCTACCAAGGTCTGAGCAATCAGGCTGTATCACTAGTTTCCACATAATAAATGTGGCTTATTGCCTATTGGATGAACTAGCACGTGGTTGCTGAGATTTCGATTCTTTGGTTCCACACTGAATCCATACTTAAAAGGCTATCAAATATCATGGTGATACCAAAAACGGTGAAAGTTGGCGAAAGCCAAGCAGGCCTTTTCTAAAATCTCTGTAGAGATCTTTTTATATTGACTTCCTATTGTTAGACGAGGCGGCGACGCAGACCTCGAAGTGTTCCGCTCATTATCACAGTCAGCTCTCTTCAGAGTGAATGACAGATCCATTCTTTCCAGCCATAGTCTCACTAACCATTAGCTTTTGTACCGTTTCGCCTGATCACTCTGAACAATCATCTTCTTATACCCATCTTCACCGCTGCATTTTCCATATCTTTAGCCTTCGCTACCCACCACCGCTTACACTTATTCAAGTTACTTCCACCCCTTATTGTGCTCAAAGCCTGCAGGAATGTGTTCCCAGACATCTATTATTATATGTATGAGCAGAAAACGAGAGGGACCTATAATCAAAGCGATTTTGCAAAGCAAACATTACCAGTTATTACATAGGATTTCGTTAAATTACACACCATGTAGACCATGCTGCTATTGAATGAGTTGCATCGAGAAAGTTCACTCAGATTCATCAGATTCCGAAGCCGATTCTGACTCACTAGTGCTTGAGTTATCTGACCCTTCTGCTTTGTTTTTGTTTTCCTTCGCAGCTTCAGCAGACTTTTCAACTTTCAATGAGCGCTCTGATGAATTTCTATCTGACTCTGAATTTGACACTTTGGCTCCAGTTTCATTAGGAGACTTAAGTTCATCTTCTGAGGCTGAATCTCTGGAAGACGAATCACCATCAGACCTTGTTCCCGACTTTTTAGCCTCAAACTCCCAGAAGAATCCTCGGAACTCTCATCAGTTCCCTTAGAATCCTTCACTGCAGTTTCAATGCTTTTTGTTACATGATTTATCTCCTCTTCATCCTCACTTCCAGAGACTTCAGTTACAGGCTTCGTTCCCTCTTTCCCAGAATCATTTCCATAAGCATCTCATCCATCGGTTCCTCTACTTTGTCTTCATCATCTGAGATTTGTTCACCTTTATCATCTGAGATTTGTTCACCTTTATCATCATTGCTGCCTTCATCTCCTGAAGAACAAACACTTCCTTTTACAGATGCCGCAAGTTTATCCATAGTTGCGGATTCCTAAGAAAATGATCACTGCTGCTAAGAGACCTACCTCTGACTTCTCCTCCTCGGAATTTTCACCGTTTTCACCCTAAAATTTAATATTGGATATGAGCGTTCAATGAGCTCACTACAGGATGAATTCATGCAGTACATGCTAAACAAGCGAAGTCATGCATGGGGACCTAATACATGGCCAGTACCTCATTAGAATCGCCCACTAGCGCTGAAAATGGTTTCTAAGAAGTGTTAAGAACAAACTATAAACTTACAGGCTTATCACCAGGAAGCTTTAAAAATGACTCCAGTTCCTCCATCTCCAATGCCTCGTAAAACTCCTCAAAACTCTGAAAATTTAACAACAGAAAGATCACTAACTCCAAGGTATTCATTATCCAAGAAATATGGGGTGGCACTAGTGATTTCTCCATCTTTTTCAGTTCTTCAAACAGAGCACATTTTTCAGACTCATTAGAAATGTCTGAAAGATCAATTTCTTTAAAATCAACCTTCTTGGAGTTCAGAAGTGATAAGATTAGTCCCTGTTCTTTTTTGACCTGATTCCTGATTGCGAATATATATATCCTCTCACCTTAAGATTTCCGGAAAGAGTACTAGTATAAATCTTCAGGACCATTGCTGTACCGAAATACTTGTTAAACGCGGTCGAAAATCAACTCTGGAAATAAGCCTTTCAACGTCCACTAGCATCATTCCCTACCAGTATCTAATACCCACTATATTTCTACAAGCTAGTGTAAGCCAATTGATTTCTTCGCGCTCGCTTCTAAGTCTTGCGGAACATTTCCAGGTCTATGGGGGATTTCTATGCAGTTGGTCTACCCACTAGCCTGCTCTAGCTCTGGTTAGTTCGACACGTGGTAGGTTGCTGATTAAATTTGTACGTATTGTATGGTTTTTCCAAGGAATGTAGTGCAAATAGCTGTTTCACACATACTTCGAGGGTCATGTCAAGGTTGTCGTTGCCCATTCTAAGCCAACCACATTTTTCATTATTGAATTGAAGGTGCGACTCTGCACATCATGATCCTAGTTTACCTAGCTCCTGTCGGACAGTATCCAGAGTTGTACACAATTCAAGAGAGTGACAAGTGCACATAACCTCCAGGCCACTGGCGTATGGGAATATTTTACTTCCACTGAAGTAGGTACATACACCGTCGGTACACAACATAAACAAAAAAGGCCAGGGACACTACTGTGTATAACTCCACTTGTCATATGTTTAGGTTCAGACCGCACTGGGTTTACTTTCGCGACTGGAGTGCGATCACTAGGGGATTTCACTCAAATAGGTTGGGGGTTACGAATACCAACAGATTATAACTTAGTAAAGGGTATATTATGAGACACCTTATCAAATGCCTTCGATATATCGAGGTATAGAACGATGACGACTTTACATGCCTCATGATTACCAGTGATGAAGTTGGAGAGATCAAAATGGCAAGTAACCCTGGAGCTATTCTTTATGAAACCAAGCTGAGAATCCGCGATTAGGCTTTTTCTTGGTAGGTGATCAGGGACGTTGTTCTCAACTGCCTCTTCCATAATTCTGGAGAGAACTGGCCTTACAGTGATGAGCTTGTAAGTAATGACGTTCGATTTGTCCCCAGACCTGTAGCGAGGCGTTGTGTAGCCGCTTCTCCAGTCGGTGGGATATACGCCACTTTCAATTGATGGGGTGAATATCTCAAGCAGTAACGGAGACATACCATCACCACTGTTTCTGGTGGCGGATGAGTTTAGGCCGTCTATTCCCATACCTGTTGATAGTAGCAAGTTCATGATGGCGCCTGTGATACTTTTAACGGCGAAATCCAAGTTGGCGCACGAACATGTAGTAAGCATTGTAAAACTGATGAGGATGAGAGTGCAAGGCCCGAATTTTGCGGACCATTTGCTGAACGCTTCACAAATTTTGGGGGGATCGTTGCAGATCACCCTATCAAATAATAGACAAGCTATCTTTCTTGATGACTATAGACACTTATTTAAAAGAGAGGTCGGACTATGCGTCGCACAGCCACTTTTGAGGGCATTTAGCCCTCCGATTATTGAGTCTCGTGCGCGTAGTCTGGATTACTTGATGCGTATCGTAGATTGAGTGCAACACCACGAAGTCATTAGGGGAGTGATATAGCGTACATAACTTCCGTAGTTAGTTGCGAAGTATTCGAGGGATGTATTGATCCTCATCCTTCTTCACCTTAAACACTCCCACTGGAGCAATGATATCTAAACATAGCACTATATTTCCGCAGAAAAACGAAATTGACTCTGTTAATGAGGCTGTAATGAAGTATTCACCTCATGGGGTGTGCCGAAGGAGTTCGGTGGTCACCTCCCGTTCCATACTTCTGTAGCTACGATTCAAGATATTTCTCGTTGGGGGGGGATTGGTAGGCAACAGAAAACCATTCTGTGGTCACTGTTAGCGAATTAGCCACCAATGTACGTGGAGACATGCATGGTATCACAACAAGAGGCTGAATCCAGAGTACTGTCCTCACGTGTGGATGTATGGATATATTGTTTCCATCCATGGAAATCTTTTACAGTGAGTAGTTCGTCATAGAGTTGTGGACTAGAACTCGTTTTTCAATTACCTTCAGAGAGGTTAAGGTCTCCTGCAATAAGTTTGAAGTCAGCGTTGATGGATGCGGCGTGGGGAAATGACTGAGCAATGGGCCCATCAGTTTTCCTGATGAACATGGTGTTCTATAGACGCATTCTACGATGAATATATAATTAATACCATTTATAACAACCCACGGTGAATCGGTCAGAGCATTTGATGCACATCTTCAATATTATCAGCCGTAGCAGGACTACAGCTGTATGAGGAAACCCCCTCCACACTTATGATCCCGGTTAGTGAGATAAGGAGTATAACCATCCATGAACAGGTTTACATGGTGGGGAGCCATGATACAGTGGCTCATATAGCCGTAGGTTTGGTAATCAAGACTATCGTTCTCAAGCCAGAAAATTTCTTCGGCAACGAGCGTTCATTGATAAGCAGAAGTGTGAAAGATTACCACGACTTTTGAAATGTTTCACAATGTCTTATGCGTCCAGTTGGCCAGAGAAGTTTCCTATACCCAACTCATTACGGGTATGATGAGACCCGGTGACGGTGAATAGCTATATGACTGGTGGGATTTTATCGCCCAATAATTTATGATCACCTGCTTTTCGAACGTACATAAGAGTAGTTAACGGGCTATTCGTCCTTACTGGTGATGTACACTACAGTTTGCGACCGGTGTAAATCGAGTATGGCAGCTCCAAGCTTGTTTCTGGGGGGTGAAACGATTCTGTGTACATACTGCACGGGATCCCGAAAAATTCTGATGAGGTTCAAAAATGTGGACTGTGTTAGAGGAGAAATTATGTATATTTTCAAGTATTGGTTAGGAGTGTCCCAGTACCGATGCAGGTTTGGGTGAGGTGTATGTGACATGTATGACGTGAAGGTGTTCGGTATGCCACATAACATCCCGTTGGGGCCCTGATGGCTGAATAAAAGTATTCTAGGGTATTGCCTTCAAATACCTCTACTTTATCGTAGTACCTCTATATAAGGGTTGGGGCCATATGAAAACCTTTGGGCTGGTTTTCCCCGCGAGATGCCCCATTTTCAGTGGATCCGGTAGCGGTTTCGTCCAGAGCTACCATGTTAGCTACAAGGCGTTCTTCGCCCCCGTTAGACCAGATGCGCTTAGAACTCGCTTTCTTCAAGAGTTTTGTGGGTTTAAAATGCGAGGTTTTACCCGCGGGTCTGTGTCTAGGGCTTTACTGTCAGCTAACAGATTTTTATCCTCGGCTACCTTAGGGAAGCCGATATTAATAGTTGGGGTTCCATAAGCAGCTAACAAGTCCGGTTAACTTACGTCCAGGTCAACTTGAGACTGCTTTTCTGCTAGTCCGGCTGGCTTAGTAGGACTACTGGTCCTGGCTGAACCATCCGATTGTTTCTGAATGCATGCAGTGTCTTCAGAGTTTGCATGTTTGAAGCGGCCGTACTGTTTTTAATCATCTGTTTTCCACGCTGACATAGGGGTTTTGTCCCGTACAGTTGCGGTAGTTATAAAATTGCCATTTAGTCTCATATGATCCTGAGAGTTGATGAACTTTTAGAATCAAATGTGGTAGCGAACTTGAAAAGAATGGGGCAACTTAACTGTGCTGCTTTTTACGGGGGCGTCTACAGTCACAATGCACAGCCATCATGCCATATGAATTAAGTGCCCGTTTCCTGACGACATCCAAAGGTATGATATCTGGGACATTAAATACTATGGTCTGTTGAGGAGATGCCAGCCTCTTCATTACTTCATTCGCCAAGTAGTCTATTAGGGTTTCAGCTTCTCCCTTATGGTTTGAGGCCAGGTTCTTATGTGTCCCAAGGCGATATGTTATGGGTTGGTAGTCCTCAAACGCTCTCTTGATTCCACTATCACGGCCGTAATATTGTCAAGTTCTTTACCATTTTCCTTAAGATTATTATTCATTACCAACGTAATACCTTCTGCCCCGACGAGAGTCGTGAGGCGTGTAAGTTCTTCAGGATCTGAATTACATGACATGATAGAGTGTCAGTCACAACCCGGAATACTAGTGGAACCAACATTTACATTCTTATCGCTGGAACTACCAATCCTTGAGCGCTTTGCTTTCGACAGCCCTACTCTTAAAGTAGGTTCCAAGTGGATTTTCAGTTGACAGTGGAGGCATGTAATCCAAAAGAATGGAAATACACTGCCCGTAGGTTACAATGTGGCCTCGGATTATAAGACAGAATAAATCTTCACATTACCACCAATATATAGTAATAACAAACTAAACACAGAAGGAAACCGACAAATAGATATCAAGGATCACGTGTGAAAGCAGCATATAATTCCATCGTTACCGCTCCATATGGGCGTTGTGAGGGGGCAACGAACCTGTTCCAAAATGAATACGAAAGAAGTTTTGCGTGTAACAGCTACTGAACTGGCCCAGCCAGGGTGCACCGAACTTTAGACATGTACTGAAATTTGGTGGTTGTGTAGTACAACTGGAGTTAGCTTGCGACCGTCAGCGTCTTCACCGTACACTGGGCTACGTTACATGGGTCAGTGATTGTCAGCCTTCCCATGATAAGGCGTGTGTGTGCTCCAGGCCTGCTTTGCCTTTCACCCAGTCCTCGTTTTGGAGTGGTCCAAAGTGATCCGGGTTGTCCATGGTGAGAGAAAAGCCAGTGGTCGGCTTCGTTGTCATTCCAAAAGAGTACTAGACCATTTGCTGAAGGGAGATTCCAGCCAATTCAGTAATTTACTAACTCTTATTCATGGACTCCAGTGCGAACATAAGAAGACATCTAAGCCAATCTGTGGACCGTTAGCTTCGTATAATAAACCATTCAAATTCTTTGTCGTGTTTCTATTAGTTTCTGGAAGTCAAGAAACAGCAAATATATCTTCTAGTCTGACATGCACACTAAAAGGTGATGGACAAGCTTACTAACTGAATAGAAATCGTGGAGTGAAAAGCCTTGGAAGGTGAGCCGATACGAAAGCTTTTTCCATTTTCTGCCAGATCTCCTTGCTTATTTTGCTTGTGCAGATA